TTTAAAAATTTTCTAATAAAAATAAGATGCAAAAAGCTCCCTTTAAAATAAAAAAGCATTTTAAAATAATCAATAGTTTTATTCCAAAAAAGGCTTTTTTAGTCCAAATCAAAAATTTTAGTATTACATTTTGTATGTAAAAACTTAAAATAGAGAATATTTTAAGGATTATAAATATATATAAATAAAGTTTTGAAAATTCAAAATTAAGTTATAAGTAAAATTTTTACTTATCGTTATTATATGAATATATTAATAAAAATATGGGATTCACATATTTTATTTTCATATTAATAATAATAAATATAAAGTAAGTAAATCTTGAAATAATAAAAAGTTAAATTTTAATAAAATCTTCCTAAAATTCTTGAATAATATACTTTTTTTAAAAAAGGAATTCTATAATTAAATGAATTTTCATAAATTAATAATTAATTAAATGTTTCGAAGATTTTAGCTTAAATAAATAATGATCTTAAGTATTTCAAAATATATGATTTGGTTAAAAAAATGATTAAGAAAAGTTTTATTTTATACACTGATATTGAATATAATGAAGATAAATTAATTAAATAAAGTTTTTTCCTACCTTATGAATATAGAATTAAAAATAATCTAAACAAAAACAAATTTAATCAAAAATTGTTAAGTGATATTGAATAAAAAATCAAATTGACAATTCTTTAAATATTATATTAATAAATTAAAAAAAAAAATAGTTTAATTATAGAATAAGTAATAATTTATATTTATTTATTAATTGTAATAAAATATATAAGTTTAATTAAGAAAAATAAAAGTTTATTTAATAAAATATTTAGATTATAAATTAAGAAAGAGCAAGGTATATTTTTTTTATATATAATATAAAAATTAAATTTTATGTTTTTTTTTTTTTTATAGAATGATGCTTTAAACAACTCCTAATGTTTTAAAATAATTAAATTCTAAAAATTTTGATTATTTACCATTTAAAAATACGATTTAATTAATAGCTTAGGATATAAAAGATTTTCCAGAAAAACCAATTGTTAAAATAGAAATAACTAAAAAGTATATTTTATATTATAAATAATTATATTTTTTATTATTTATATATATTTTTGTTATAACTATAAAATAAAAAAAGAACTTTTAATTACTATTTTGATAAATATGTATAATTTCTTATACAATTAAATTAACAATTAGAATATTATGAATAAGGAAAAAAAAAATATATAATATAAATAATTAAACATTAATTAAGAAATAGAATAGAATATACATAATTATATAGATAATTTATTAAAAGATTTTAAATAATATTAAAAGAATAAAAATAAGAAATTATGAAAATAAAACTTATAAAAAAAATAAAAATATTGATTTATTTATAAATAAACATCATAAATTTAAATCAAATAGGACTTTTTTTAAATCTAAAAACACTTTTTTATATATATTTTTCTAAAATAAATTATATTATTCATTAAAAAACTTCATAATGATCATTTTGCGTGTCTCTTTAATTTTAATTTTTTACATTTCTAATAATATAATTCTAAACAATATAATTATAAAAATAAAATTAAATTAAAAAAAAATATATTACAGAATAAATATTATAATAAGAATTAATATTTTATTCATAAGTAAAGATTATTAACAAAATTAAAACAAAAGAAACAATTTTAAAACACAAGAAAATAATCATAATAAAATAAATAAAGCCATGTAAACCTTAAACTTTATCTTAATCATAATAATCAAATTAATTATAAAAAATAAAATTTCCCATATATCCGATTTACTTTATATAAATATAATCTTAAATCATACAAAAACTAACAGCTATAACAATCCAGGTCAGTTAATTTTAGGTAATTTTTTTATTCGAAAATTTGGCAATAATACATCCATAAGCAAAAATCTATTATTTTATAAATGAAAGAAAATAAAAAAATTACTTCTAAAAAAGAGCATTTCAATAAAGAAGTAAAAATACTAAAAATTAAGCAAATAATATTTATATAAAACACAATGTTTTAAAATATTTATTAATTAGTTTTTTATTATTTAATTTTCTACGACTCTTCTTCAAAATTAGTTTGTTTTTTTAATTATATTGATTATTATGATTATTATTATTATTATGATTGATATTATGTTTATTATGATTATTAAAATTATTGCTATTATGATACTTATTATGATTATTAAAATTATTACTTTTATTATTATTATGAATATTATGATAATTATTATTATTATTACATTTATGATTTTTATTATTCTTATTATGATAAATATTATGATTATTAATATTATTATTATGATTATTATTACAATAATGATTATTATTACAATTATGATTATTATTTTAATTATGATTATTATTATTATTATTATTATTATTATTATTATTATTATTATTATTATGATTTTGTTATTTATTATATATTTTATAATTATTATGGTGTTTAATATTACGATTATTATTATTATTATTATTAAATTTATTTATATTATTATGATTATTACGAATGTTCCTATTATTTAATCTAACTATCTTTTTAATTATATTATTATTATTATTTATTTTATACTATTAACATAGATTATGCCTCTATCATTTATTCACATATTATTTATTTTCTTTTACTTTTTTAAATAATAGCAATATAATCTAATGCCTTTAGAGTATTTTCATTTTTCTATAATCCACTTTAATTTTAATGAACATACCCTTAATCAAATACTAATTAAATTATTTTTTAATTTTTATCTTCTATAAGTTTAAAAAGAATTATTATTTCATCATGTGGAAGCAATGTAAAAGAAATTTAATTATTTTCTAAAAAAATATATTATTTATGAAAAATAAATAAAAATACATTCAATTTAAGGTTCAGCTAATTTAGCCCCTTTAATACAATTAACTTAAATTTTCTATGAAAAAGCATTTTCAGAAATACTCTTAATATAGTAATAATAGAATCCAGCATTCTAAAACCTATACACATAAGCTTGACCATGATTAAATTTCTAAAATTATCCAGTCTATATAGCATGACTTCTTAATATATGTTTTTAAATTTCAATAGCCTAATGATCATAATCAAAAACTTATTATAAACTAACATTGTACTTGCTATATGTACCTATATGATAAAATAAAAATAATGATAATATAGATATATATATATAAATATATATATATATATATATTTATATTTATAAATTTACTTATTATAAAATTTCTAGTAATATCAGAACACCATCTACCTTCAATAACAATAATATAATGACCTTAATCTAAGTCTTCTTCTATGCATATATTTCTTTCATTTAAATAATTTTAAGATACATATTTAAGAGTATTCTTATCAATTATTTTTGCCATTAAAATACTAAATATCGAATAACTATGGTTATTTTTGTTTATATATCTTATATCTTATTAATGTAATTAAATATAGCATTTAGTTTATTCATTAACTGTTAATTTTAATATAGTATAGTCTTCTTATTTTTTAATATTTTATTATAACTAAATACTATTAAAAACAAAACTTTCATTTATTTTTACAGTCCCTATAATATCAAAATTAGTAAAAAAGTCTTCCAAATCAATCCAAAAAAAGCCTTAATTTTTATCGTTTTCTATATTTAATTATTATTTTAATTAAGGAGTCCACATATTACTATTTTAAGACCAATTTCCGTTCCATTCAACAGGTCTAAAATTTATATATATATATTTATATTTTTTTTTTTTTTATAAATATATATAATTATTTACGCCCATAAAGTTCTTAATTTAATTAATCTATATACTTTTCCTGAAAAATCATTATAAATATAAGTTTAATTTATAGAATAAGGCATATTTTAAATAAATCCGTTTTAATTATTATTCAAACAATAACATTAAGTAAAATATCTACTTTCTATAGATTTATATATATATATCCACATTTCTTCTTTAATACTGTTTATACTTTTTTCTATTTAATTTACTACCGCATTATCCTATTCTATATTTTTTGTAAAACATTAATAAGGTGCTCCTGTCAAATCTGTTAAGGCTTAATATGTTATTCCTTTTTAAATATTTGAATAGCTTCCATAGGCTTTTCCATATGCTTTTTCAAGTAAACTAACCCAATATTCATTATTTTTTAAAGATGTAAATGCTAATTCTTAATTATTTTAATTATAGGGAAGATAATCATCTAAAATATTATTTAGATATATAAATTATATTTATTAATTAATTAAATATACCTATTAAATATGATTTCCATTCTCCATTAATATTTAACCAAATATTATATATTCCATTGGGATTATATTAAAAATTAGAAAATAGTCTTTTTATAAGAATTGGATTTTCAGCTAAACTGGCAAAGGATAATTAAAGATAAATATCTTTTATTCTTCCTTATTAAATTCCAAAAGGAGAAATATTCTAACTACAAATAACTGCTTGTGAGTTTATTCTCTTCCATATTATATCTTTTGGCTGACAAAAAGAAGGACCTAATGATTTTTCAGAATGAGGAAATTCAGGATCTTTAAAGGGATTATTTTACATTTAGATTATTTATTATTATTCTGTAAATCTTTTTAAATTATACTCTTATTCATAATTTAAATAAGAATATAAACTTGGTTAGGTGTTTTATTATAAATTTTTCATTTTATTTTTATTTATTTTTGAATGCTAAATAAATTACTTATTTGTAATTATTTTATATGTTTTATTTTTGTTTATTTAAAATACAAATTTTATTTTTATATATTAAAAAAAATAAAACAAAAAAAAGTTGAATTAAAATTAAATAAAGATTATTTATTTATTTATTTTTTAAAAAAAGAGTTAAATAATTTTAAATAAAATATAAAGAAATAATAAATCTCTATAATTTAATTATTTATTATTAAAAAAAAACATATATATATAAATGTATAAATTTTTATATATATATATATATTATTATATTAAATAAATATAATCATTTTTTATTATTATTTTTATTATTTTTATTTTCTTTATTATCTTTATTAATTTTATTATCTTTTATATCTTTATTTTCTTTATTTTCGTCTTACCCAATTCCCATCTATTAATTTTTAACAGCCTCAATTAAAGCTTAATTTTCCATAAGTTATTTCATTTTTATTTCTCTATTTTTCTATACTTATATTTCATGTGGTGTAGGTTCCGGTTATTCCCAATCAGGATCTTCCCTTGGGTCAATAGAAGATGGCTTATCATTATATTTACTTCCATATACATCAATAACTCTTTCAACTAATTCCTTCCAAGTAAATCTTCTAAAATTATTAAGTTTATCTGCCAAAATATTAATATTTTTATCAATTTCATCTATTCTTAAATCATCATAGCATTATCTAGGCTTAGCTATACATCTAAATTTATGATGTTCTTCTATTACTTTCGGGTAATTCCATAATTCAGGAGGTCTGACTACATTCATATATTTATCAGCGTATTGCTTTTCACATAATTCTAGAAAATATTAAACTTCGCTTTTATTTTTTTTATCTTTTCTTTTCTATTATTTAGATGTTAGACCAATTCTTAAAAACAAATAATAAAATATATATTTAAAAATAAATAAAATACTAAATATAATAGTCTTATATATCTTATTAAACAGCCTCGTTTATATGTCTTAGCATTTCTACACATTCTTCAAATAAATCTTTTTCTTTTTAATCAAGTAAATTTTCTAAAAGCCAATATCTTCCATATATACTTTCATCGCCTTATAATTCCTATTTAGATATATAAATAAAAATATTTAAATATATTAAAAAACTTTTTATTTTAAAGAATAATTAAATATATATTATAATAAATATTAATTATTTTTATTTTAATATATTAATATGTATATATATAATTATATTTTATATATATATACTTTCAATTCTTCTGGTTATATATATATTTCTTTTTTTTTGGAGGTTCCTTAGTTTATTCATCTTATTTTTTTTTATTTTTATCATCTTTTCCACCTTTTTTGGAATCAATTTTTTTTTTGTCTGCTTTTTTTTCTTCTTTTTTTTTTTCCGTTTTTTTTGGTGGTAGACTTTTTTAACCTTTTTTTCCTTTTGTTGGAGACACAACTTCTATTTTTTTCTAATTATCCAAAAGTGCTTATTATTCCAACCATATCTTTTTTTCTTCTTCTCGTTTTTTTAAAGGTGAATTAGCATGTTGTTCGGCCCTTAATTGGCTCAAAATAGATAATTTTTCACTCTAAATTCTTAATTTTTCCTCCCTTTCTTTCTTTTATAATTTCCATTTATGCATTTTTTGAATTTGCTTAAAAATAACAAGTAAGGGAATTGCCTTTGTGGTAATATTTTCGTCTTTTTATAACAAGTTCTCCCTGATCTTCTCATCACTTTCATATATTAAACCAACGACTTCGAAAAAAAAATTAAACTAATCCCTTTTTAATGGATTTCCAAGTAATTTTCTGCAATCATTTCAGCATTAATCAGTTTAGTGATATCTTCCATAAGCTAAATATTTTAATTTAAGGGAGTTTTCCAATAATTAATACCATAAATCTACAAATTAATTAATGTTTTAGACATATCCCCAAAACAACTATGTAAAGGATTCAAATAAATACTTTCAGCTTTATTTTCTTACTTATAAAACAGTTATAATTTATAAAATAATCTATGACAATCTGGTAAAATTGGAATTAAAGGTTAAGGGTATTCCTAAATAAATTAAAAAAAATAATATATATATATATATTATTTACTTCCCATAATATACGAAATATATCTTATAAATAATCTGTATATTTATCAATAATTATACGATGGATAAAATCTCTAACTTCTTTTTCAACTTTTGGTACAAAAGTTATATTAAATTTTTTATTATTAGTTATTTATATCTATTAAATTAACTAAAGGTTATAAAACCATAGCCTATAAATACAAATAAATATAGTATATATAAATATATATATATATAACTATATTTATATATTTATATATTTTTTTATATATTTATATATATAAATTTATATTTATTACTAAATATTTATTATATATTAAATCATGATCATTTTTAACATGTTTAGTAAAAAAAGAAATGAATTCTTTCATAAGTACTATTACAGCTTTTTTTTAAACTTATAATGTATCAGGTTATAAATCATCAATTTCTTTTATATAATTCATTATTTTTATAAATTTATGTCTGCAATGATAACTATTATCTTAATGTTCTCGTACGACACCACAATAAAAACCATCTATTTAATATTAAATATTTTCTTCGTCTTTTTAAGCAAAAAATGTACTTCTAATTTATTCGTGTTTAAATTCTTTTATTTTTCCTGTTTTTAACTTATATATAATTAAATTATATATATTTAATAAATAATATTTTTTACTTTATATAATTTAAAAAACTCATACAGTTTATTTAAATATGGATACCATTCTCCTGTAAAATCTTTACTTGTTTCAGTTATATTAGATTATGATTATTCTTCTAATAATAAAGCTATATCTTTAATTTATTTGTATTCGTCGGATTATTTCCATTATTCGAATTATGCTTTTTAAGCTTCTGGGTCAATTTTCTTAGGTTTTTTTACTGGCATTTAATATTTTTACTTTTATTTTATTTAATGCTTTGCTTATGAATTAAATATATTTGAAAATATAAATAAATTAAAAAAAGTAAATATTTTTAAATAATTATAACTTATTTACAAATAAATAAGTATTAATAAATGACTATTTGTATTTTTTTAATATTAAATATATATATGTATTTATATTAATAATTATAATATATATATATATAATATTTAATATATTTTATAATTATATTTATAATTATTTTTGAATTTTTTTTATCCATTTATTAATTTTTCTAAATTAATTATTTTCTTAATTCAATTAATTTAAAATTATTAATAAATTACTTTTTGTATTTGCATTATTATGATAAAAGAATATAATATATACAAAATAAATTGAATATTTTATATAAGAAAAAATCTAATTTATATATTTAAGAAAATAACAATCAATACAATAACATTTATTATTAATGTTTATTTTTATTAAAATAAAATTCCAAAAACATTATAATTATAATATCTTAATAAATAAACATATAAACAGCATTAAATTTTATTTATTATTTTAATAAAAGTTTATTATATATAAAAATATTAAAAATTTGAAAATAATTTATATATATATTATTTTTTAATTTTACAAATGTAATAATTATTAAAATGAATTATAAATTAAATATAATATAAATTTTAAATAAATTTTTTACACTTATTATTTATTTTATATTATAATATATATATAGAATTAAGAAAATATATTATAAATTAATTTATTATAATTTTTTTTATAATAAATTATATTTTTTTGATTTTCCATCAATATATAAATACATATTATATGTTATTTTTTATTAAGAATATACCAATTAATATTTTTTTTATAATAAAATTAAAATTATATTATTTTTTATATACATTTCTTATTAAAACTCTAAAATAATATCTTCTTAAAACTAAAAAAAATAAACCAAAAATCCATTAAATAATATTTTTTTATTCAAAAAAACTGTATAATAATTTTATTTTACTATTTAAAAAAAGATAATTTATTTGTTAAACACAAAAAAATATAATTAACATTTTTCAGTTTAAATTATATATATATATATATATATAATTTTAAGTAAAAAAAAAAAATACTTTATTATAAAAATTTTAAACTGTATTAAAAAATTTATATTTTAAATTCAATTTTCGTAAAATTATTTATATATATTACTTTACCCTGTAATAAATTATTAAAAAAATCTAAAAAAATTATAAAATACGTCATTAATAATTTATTATAATTAATTAAACCCGAAATTTTCAATTTAAATACTCGAAAAATATTAAAAAATAATAATAATAAAATTACAAAATAAACTAATAAAAAAAATAAAAAAAGCACACACACAATAAATGTCAGATTTTCACGACTACAATTTCGGATTTTCAAAACTGGAGGCAGAACACCCTCACCTTTGTAATCTAGAACATCATCCATGACCTCGATTCCTAGTAAAAATAATATTCCTCCCTCGAGTAAACCTAAAATAAATTATAAATATTAGTATTAGTATTAAGGACCATCATCTTTAAGTACTATTCCTGCTGTAAATATGTAAGCCTAAAATATATTCTCTAAGTGAACAAATAAATAAGAAAAAAAATAATAATATTATATATATATATATATAAAATTAAATAAAAAATAATATAAAATTAAATAGTATTAGTATTTATATAGTATTATTAAAATTAATTAACTTTTTTTATTATAATTAATTTTTTTTTGTATATAAATATTTTACTTTAAAAATTACGAAATTAATAAAAATATATTATAAATTTTATTATTTGAATATAATAGACAATTAATTAATTATTATAAAAATAAATTAATAATCAAAATGAAAATATATTATAAATTATATTTTTATAATAAATAAAAATTATAATATTAATAATAAAATTATTTATAATAATTAAAATTATAGTAATAATGAAAAATAATAATATAATATATAAACAAATTATTTATTTAAAAATATAAATTATTTAATTCTTTAAAAATCTTTTTTATTTTTGAATAAAAAATATACACATTAAATTATAAAATTAGTTAGTTAATATTTTTTTATACAAACAAAAAATGTATTTATATAAAAATTTGTAATAGAATATAAAAAAATAATTTTTGAATAGAAATTGATATAAAAATTAAAACTTGGATTATATATTTATAAAAATTTAGAAAATAAAAGGGAATACTAAAAATTATAATACTTTTTATTCTAACATTTATTTTTTTAATAACATAAAATAAAAAAAGCAGATATATTAAAAAAAATTAAATTAAATTATATAAATTAAATATAAAATTTATTTAAAAAAAAAAAAATATCTTATAAATTAGATATAATAAAAAAAAATCAATTATATTTATCTAAAATAATAAAAATATAAATATATATATATAATATAATATATATTATTTTTTATTTATTTATATTTTTATATATACATTTTATTAACAAATATCAATCAATTTACGGATTTATTATTTTTCCCATAAAAAGAATTGAATTGCCAATATTTTCCCTTACTATAAAAATAAATGGCATATTTAAAATTAAATTTTTCTCGACTTTACATTAATTACCTTTTAATTTTTCCTAACTTCTTTAATTTAAATCTTCTTAAACAGAAAAATCAATAAATTGTTAAATATCACTTATAAAACTTCTTTATTATTTTTCTAATCTTAAAAAGTTTGCTTAGAATTCTCCAAAAGCATATTTTATTCCTAATTTTTACATTACATTTACAAATGAGAAATAATTTTTTTTTTCTTAAAAAATATTTAATTAAGGAATTCCTACATGCATTAATATTAATTTAGATTAAATAATATATTAATTATAATTTTAAAAAGTAAAAAATTTTTTTTCGAAATATTAAAGGCTCACATTTTTCGGCATAATAAAATCTATAGAATAAAAATGTTTTTTTAATGGAAATGATATATAATTGACATAAAAATCTTAATAAAACTTAATTTTCTCAATAAAAAATAGAAAATTTTTTTTCAAAAAAACATTTTTATTATTTGTTAAAAAATTATTCACTTAGAAATTCTCAAAATTTATATATGAAAAATTCTAAAAAAACTCACATTTAAATTAAATTTTATTTAATATAAATATTCTAATACTAGAATTAAAAACTCCCTTTTATAGAAAATCTTCCTTTTAAAATTTTTCAATGTTTTTTTTATTAATTTCCTCTTTTTCAAATTCACTGCCTAAAATAAATTTTTTTTTTTTGAAAAATTAATCGAAATTTCAATTTTTATTTTTTGCAGTTTATAAAGTATCTTCAATAATAATTTCACATATAGAGCTTTTTTTTATATGATATAGTACATTATCAATACCTTATTATAGGATTTTTTCAAATGAATCATCTTGCGCGAAATTTAACACATTTTAGAATTCTTCTTTTGTTTTTCCTTCACTTTATAAAGCCAATAAACCTAAACAAATATATAATTATGCAGGAGAAAACATCAAATTATGAAAAGAGCTTTAAGCTAGATGATAAAATTGAAAAGCAAAAATATTATTTTGAAATGAAAATTAAAAAAGTTCGTTTTTAATCATTTTTTTTAAGTAAAAATTAATATAAAACAAATAAAAAATAAAATATAATAAATAAACAAAAGAATTTTAAAATAAATATAAAAAAAATATTAATAATATAATTATAAAGAATATAATTTATAAATAAAAATACATATAAATATATTAAAAATATATAATTATATATATATTTATATATTCAAATATATATTTATATATACTATACATTTATATTATTAATATCATTGTATATAAATATATTATAAAATTTTAATTTTAAATAAACATAATTTTTTAAAAAATATAATAAAATATAATAAAATAAAATAAGATGTAATATGATATTGTAGGTGCTGTAAAAATTATTGACGGTCTCTATTTAGGTGATGAATATGCCGCTTAAGATTTAGAATTTATAATTACAAATAAAGTTACATAAATTATAAATTGTTCTTCTAAGCAAGTTCCTAATCATTGGCAAAATTACGACGTTACTTACCTATCATATGATTTTTAAGATACAGATACATAAGTATTTTTATATTTATTTTAATTTAAACAATATAAAAAAATAATATTATATAATTAAGATAAAAAAACATATAAATAATAAAAGGTTATTTTTGATGATAAAGATTAAATATTAAATATAACATTTAATTTAATAGTAAAAACATTAGAACATGCTGAAAGTATACTTGTTCACTCTGTAAAAGGATAAAATCGTTCTGTATGTATAATTGCTGCGTATTTAATGAAAAAATACTAATGGGCATTATATAAGACTCTCGAATTTTTACATTCTAGAAGATAAGATTTAGAAATAAAGGCTTGCTTTTTCAATTAATTATTAAATTTAGAAAATAGGTTTAAAAAATAAGGAAATGCGCCAAGAAGTTCTAATTGGAATGAATTGTCTAGTTAAAATGACCATGAGGAAATTTTATTAAGAAACACTTATTTAAATAGCAAAATAAAACCATTGGAAGATGATGAATGTGAAAAAATGAGGAAAGATTTTGAAAATGATTTAGATTTAAAAGATTTAAAAATAATTGAAAATAATAATAATTAAATTTAAGAAGATTTTGAAATAGATTTTTTAAATGATGATATATAAGAAGAAAAATAAATATATTAATAAAATTAATAAGTTTAAGCAAAAATAAAATAGGGTATTTAAAAAAAAATATATTGGGTAGATTTAGATGGAAATAAGGAATTATGTATTTTAGAAATTCCTATCTTTGACTAATGTAATTTTAATAATAATAGGATTTCTATTGATTCTTATAAATCTATTATTAAAGTTATATTTTTATTTAAAAAAAATATAATTTTAAAATATAAAGGGGTCAAATAAAAATTTTTATGTCACATCTTAATCATTAAATTATATAAATTTAGAAAAAAATATTTCAAATTAATAATAATAAATTACATAAAGTGAAAAAAATATTAATTTTTCAATAAAAAGAAATAGTTTCAGAACAAAAAAAGAGAAGATGCTGTAAATGATAAAAAAATTATAATGAATAAAATTGAATAGTAATAATCTTAATAATAATATTAATAATAAAATTAATTATAAAATTAATAATAGTAATAGTAATAGTAATAGTAATAGTAATAGTAATAGTAATAGTAATAGTAATAGTAATAGTAATAGTAATAGTAATAGTAATAGTAATAGTAATAGTAATAGTAATAGTAATAGTAATAGTAATAGTAATAGTAATAGTAATAGTAATAGTAATAGTAATAGTAATAGTAATAGTAATAGTAATAGTAATAGTAATAGTAATAGTAATAGTAATAGTAATAGTAATAGTAATAGTAATAGTAATAGTAATAGTAATAGTAATAGTAATAGTAATAGTAATAGTAATAGTAATAGTAATAGTAATAGTAATAGTAATAGTAATAGTAATAGTAATAGTAATAGTAATAATAATAATAATAATAATAATAATAATAATAATAATAATAATAATAAAAATAAATACAATAGCAATAGCAATAGCAATAACAATAACAATAATAATAACAATAACAATAATAATAAAAATAACAATAATTGTAAAAATAATAATTATAATAATTAAATCCATATTAAAAAAGTTAATCTTTATTAAATATTAAAGAAGATAATTAAATTTAAAGTATTTAAATTCATATATATTTTATTTACTTACTAATTAATTTCTATTATTTAAAATATAAAGATTCTTTGAATTAAATTGTAAATAAACAATTTAAAGAAGAATATGCTAAATACGAAGAAAATAATTTGAAATAAAATGATTATTAATTTAAAAGTCTAAATGAATAAAGAAAAAAAGTATATTTATTTTATTATTAAATAATAAATTTACATAAAAAGTAACAAGAAAAGATTTATAATCATTAATATAAGATGAAAAAAATGCTTAAAGAAATATAAGTGGATTAAAACCATCTATAATGAGTGAAAACTCTTAATAATTATTTGTCTAAAGTAGCAAAAATATATAATCATATAATAATTAATTACCTTATTAATAAAACTTTTAAATAAAGAATAATGTTAAATAAAAAGCATTTTCTGACAATTTTATAATATCATAACAAAATTTTTTACAAAATAAGTAATAAAAATGATTTTTTAAATATATGAAAATATTTATATATGTATATTTATATATATACATATATTATATATATTTATATATATTTACTTATATTTACCTATATATATATATTATTATTAGAACTAATAATTAATAATAATTTGATTTATAAATATAAAAACTTTAAACAAGAAATCAAAATAATTTAAAGCTTTCTAGAATTACTAAAGCTTATTTAAGACCTTCAACTGCTCCTTTAAAGTAACCTTTATATTAACGTCTATTTTTAGGTAGAAGTAATTTTTTATTATTATTTTTAAATTAAAAAAAAGAAATTATATTAATTATATAAAGATGGAAAAGAAAAAATAAATTTTTTGATTTAATAATCATAGAAAATATAATTATAATAGAATTTATAATAATAATTATATCCATAATAATAATAATTATAATAAGATGAAAATTAATAAAAAGTTTTAAATATAGATGATTATAATTAAAATAAAGCAAAATAAATAAGAAGTAGTTCAGCAGGAAATAACATAAATTAAAATAAAGCTTAAAATTCGTTTTATTTAAAATAAAAGTAATAAAGATGGAAATTTTGATAAAAAAAAAATTATAAAAAAAATATTTTAAAAAAATATTAAAAACAAAAAAACAAAAAATATATATATATAATACTGGAAAATAAGAATTATAATATTTTTTTATTTTTATATAAATTAATTTTTTTTTTTTTTGTGTAATAAAAATAGAAAATTTATAATAAATATATATATATAAATAATAAATCTATAATATAATTAAATAAAATACTCATTATTATTTATCTACTCCCGAATCTTTTTTAAACTCCACTTTATTATCTGCATATGACATAATATTATAATTTCTATTATGAGTATCTTTTTATCTCAAATACTAAGCCCTTTTAATCGAATACTCCTTTGCTTCAGCTCCAAAAAGTCTATTTTTAGTATCTTACCACTTATTGATGAAATTTTCTTTAATACCAGATTTATTATTCCATATAGGGTTAATTTTTTCCCTTTAAAAATAATTAAAATTAACTTAATTGTTATTTTCATTCTAAACTATATCATATTACTTTTAATATTTTAACTAAGATCTATTATTGATACAATTAGCTGATTTTACTACATATTTTTTTGAAAAGCCATTAAAAAACTCAATATTAGGATTGGAAGATTTCAAAAGCTGTAAATTTTCCTCATGTAATTATTTTTTTTTTCTTTTTTTTTTAATTTTCTAATTCCTATTTAGCTTCCTAATCATATAATTAAGACTCGAAATTTAACGGATTGTCAACTTGAATAATTCCAGAAGGGAAACCTTATTTATGTACTCTATATTTTTTATTTATTTATTTAAAATTATTCTTCCAGTTTTGGAAATTATTTTATTCTTCCTTTAAATTTTTCAATTCTTAAAGTCTCTAAGGTGGATTTTATAAATTTTATGAAGGTTATAAACACATTGACAGTTTTATAGAATTCGCGTCTATATTTTTTTAAAAGGAGAAGTTTTTCTAAAAATAAACTGGGTCAATATCTTGTCTTTAGTAAACTAAAAAATTCCTCTTACTATATTAATCGGGATAACCTTTTATCGAAAAATTATTCTATTCTAAAAACCTTGAAGATGATGTGAAAAAATAACTTTCCTTTAAATTTCCCTGAGATCTTTTATTAGAATTAATGAATGTATTTTTATATTTCTACTATTCACTTTATATTGTATTTCTGTCTAAATATTGGGTCTTTGTAGCCCATATTTTAGAATTTATAAATGTATCTAAATGGGATGAATCCCAGGTTTTTTAGACTGGTACACTTATTTCTTTTTATTTAAAGTTTGTTTCGCAATATTATTTGTCGTATTTTGTATGCTTAAATTTACTTGATAAGTCTTTTGTTAGATTTTAGTAGAAATTACTGAAGTCTTTAAATGAATTTACCTATGTTTGAGGGTCTTAGGATTTTAATTGGAACATTTTTTTTAATCTTTTTATTAATTAATATATATTTATATTTTTTATTATTTATATTAATAAAAGTATTTATATTTATAGGTATTTTTTTTTTTTTATTAGAAAAGTTACAAATATTAATTTTTTTTTTTTTATTAAAAATAAAGATAATTTTTAAATTTATATATATAAATAAAAATAATATAATTTTCTATTTAATTATTAAAAATGTATATTAAAAAAATAAAAAATAAAATAACTAAATATAATATTAAAAAAATAATCTATATATTATTATTATTCAAAATATATAAGCATACGTTAAGGTAAAAATAAAAATATTTTCTACTTCATTTTTCTCCTATTAAAGTACTAAACCAATCAGTAAATTTACCTGTAGCCTCTTCTCCTTTAGCTACAGATTCTTTATTAAAATAACCAGATTCAGAAAATACTTTAGCCCCAATAGCTAAGAACAAAAGGCAAAAATTCACATAATTATTTAATCCAGTACTTGGTATTTAATATTCAGCAAGTATAGATGCTTCTTAATCTTTAACAGTATAAATAAGAGAATTATTTTATTGTAAATAGTTTGATTCTTTAATCAAAAATATATAAATATGTATATATATAGAATATATAAATATATATATATATATATATATAATATATATATATATATATATATATATATATACGATTTATATATATTTTAGCATTTTTAAGAGAAGTTCCTACAATTAAACCATTTAAAGAATCAATAGTAGAAATAAATACCATTCCTAGAGCAAATCCAACAATAGCAAGTTTTCCTAATAAAACTCCAGTTACAATCATAAAAGCAAGACACTATTTAATATAATTAATATTATAATATTTATGTCTATTTATTAATATATATTAAACAATAAACTTACACATATAACATCTATTACTAATATTGGAAAAGTTACAGTAAATTTACTTCTAATAAAACTACTTAAGCTTTTCATATTACAATCATTGAATCCGTTTTTTTTATAAAAATCAATATCTTATATCTAAAAAAAATTATATAAAATCATATATTAATTTTTTTCTGTAATAATATTTTATTACAGAAAAAAACCTATTATCAAGTAATATATATATTATACCATATCAATAGAAACATCCCTAACACATTTACAATTAAAAAATTTAATTAAATAAATTAATCCAACTCCTAAAATAAATCCCAAAAGTCCTGTTCCTTCATAAATTAAATTTCCTTAACTTGACGATAACTACACAATACAACCTATACAAACCAAATTTCCCAAAAATCCTGCACTAATATTAATACTTTAAATAAAAGGTGTAAAATTCTCACTAGCCCATCTGATTAAATAAAGTCTATCCCTAATCTAAGCTTCCATTTAGTTCATAACTGCTAAAAGATAAGCATCGTTATTAATTGCGGATGTCAATCCCATGGACAAAAGTACAGCTGCAGATTACATATATCCTAAGCACACACAGGCTAATCCATAAAAACCTCCCAAAAAAAAAGCCTCATATGCACTTATACCAAGTAAGCCTAAAAGAATCACTAAAGCGAAGTTTCCCTATGACTAGGCAGTAACAAAAGCATGTCCTTAAGAATACTATTATACCATAGAACTGATCTTCCTGGTTAATTAGTGACCATGTGAAGTGAAAAGCTCTACTACTAAAATTATCATAAAAGAGAAAAATTAGCCTTAAATAATACAATAAATGACATCTCCTTTAGAAATTTTAGAGTCGAAAAAAGAAGTTCCTTTTCCATCTCCAAGTGTAACTTCTTTTGGGAAAATTACAAACGCAATAAAATAAATGAAAATAATAGAAATAACGTTTATTATAATAAATTATAATCTCATTTAAGTGGCTATATATACACTAGTTAATCGTTTTATTTTTATTAGTTTTACTATCCAAGAAATTCCTGTAGATAATAAAATATTAAAAGAAAGAATAAATAATATCAAATATAAAGTCGTTTTATGAAATTCATCTTTTTCCCCACTTAATAAAATTGTACATGATACTATTGTTACTAATAAATTCTAAAAATCTAAGATAAAAGTTAAGTTATGGGAATATTATTAACCAATAATACTAGCTTTGGAAACACTCTATCTTAATGTTTAACTATAAGGAGAATTATCATCTTTTAACTCTTCTTCTATTTATATTTTTAATTTATAAATTTTTATATTATGTATTTTTTTATTTTTATAAAAATTAACCAAAAAATGTATTTCCTAGAAGTATTCCTTTTCCTATATTACCACCTATTTCTCTATAGAAAAGTGAAGTTATAGAAACTAATATAAATAAAATTAAGATATATATATATATATTAAATATTTATTAAAAATTATACCACCAATAGCAAACGCTAAAGTATTAAAAAAGAAATTAACTTAATTAGTTTTTGAATCTAAAGCTTAGAAATAAACAACTATATTAAAATTTTATTTATAAGATATAAAAAGCTTTAAATTTTTAATTTACCTTCATATAAAGGAATAGTAAAAAGTAAAGCTACCATAATAAGTGTAATAGATCCACAAGCAATAATATTTCCCATAATATAACTTTCAGTAAAAGTATTATGATTGTTTTCCGAAGCATTTATTAAAATCCTTGGCGGAGCAAAATTAGATAATTTTAAGACTACAAAAACAATTAATATAGTAGTCAAACATCCAATTAAAAAAGATAAAAACATCCACCAATATTAACCTGTTTAAGAAAACCAAATCTATATTATTATTTATTTATCATATAAAAAATAATTTTTTAAAATTACAAATAATAATATCAAAACAAATGCTATTATTAACATATTTATTGTTTAATATACAAATAATGACATAGTTTCATTGGATATATTATTTAAGTGTTCTTAAAATAAACGGGCTCTTAAAGATTCGCCATTTGCAATCATTACTATGTGTTCTTCGGCGTCTGTGTTATATTTGTACGAACTATTTTGATTTTTTAAATTTAAAAAATCTTTTTCTACATCACCTGAAAATTTCTATTTTTTATAAGTTCGTTAATTATGGTTTTTTTATTTTATTTTCTTTTTACTTTAACAAAAATCATTGTTATAAAATAAATCACTGATATTGTTACAAAAGTTATTACATAATATAATTTAGTTAAATTCTCAATCATTTTATATATTTATTTATTTTTTTCTTACTTTTATTTTTATCTAATTTTTTTTTTATAATATAAATATGCTTATATAAAAATTAACATATGTTTTTTATGTATTTTTATTTTAATAATTTTAATATTTAAAAAGTTTTTAATATATTATATTATATTTTTATTTCTTTTTATTAATGAAATTTGGAAAATTTATAAAACGAATTTTTATATATATAAAAACGTATATATAATTTTCAATTAACTATATTAATATTTATATTTTTTTAAAAAAAATGTTTTAATAACTATTTAAAAATAAATAATTAATTTAATTTAAAGATTTATTTAAAAAAAAATGTTAAAATAAATATTTATTTTAAAAATAAAAAAAAAATTAATATAATTTTTAATTATATTAAACTAATAATAAAATTATGTTCAAAAAATTTAAATTAAATGATCATAATATATATTAAATATTAAAAAATTATGATATAATATATATAAATTGAAAAACTCACAGATAAATAAATATATATATAGATATAAATATAAATATAAATATATATATATATATATTTAAATATTTTTAATATAAAATTTTGTTTTTAACTTTATAATATAAAATTTTCATAATTTTTATTTAAAAATAGGTACATATTCATTAGTTTACATACTTTTAATTTTTTTTAATTAATAACTTTAAAATTCCCATATTTCCATATTTTCAAAACATCCTTTTTAAATTTATTTAGTAATATCTTATATTTATTTATAATGAAATCCAAAAGAAATATCACAAATACACCCATAATTTTAATGTAAAATATTAAATTATATAATTCCTAATAAATTTCCTTATATATCAAAAAATCCACCTCCACTGCATCCATTTTATACTTTTGCGTTCGTTTAAATAAATATATTCTCTTTTTTTTCGTTTTTTATAATTTTACTAACTATACCTTTACTTACTTAAGCTTTTTTTTCTTAAAAAACCATCCCATATCCAACACTATAAACTACATCTCCTTCTTTTATTTCAACCTAAGGGAATTTTATATTTTAAAATAAAAGACCTTTTTACATTAATTTTATCAAACAAATATCATAATCTCCGTTTCCAAAGGCAATAACTTCTGCTTCTTTTAAATTTTATTCGCCATTATTATTATTTATATAAACTTTTACGATTTTTCCTTTATATAAATCACTAAATCCATGTTTTACAGTCAAAATATGTCCTTTTTTATCCAAAACAACACCCGAAAATTGACCTTTATCTAAAAACAAATATTTTTAATAGATTTTATTTAAAAAAAAAATATACCGTAAATCAATACAACATTTTCTATATTAAAAAGAAATTTATTTATTTCTTATTCTAATTAAAACGGAAGCTTTTCTTATTTTTTTTAAATTTCAGACAAAAACTCAATTTAATTTCTACATATTCCAAAACAAAAAAACAACTAATTTTTATTTTCAATTCCTATTTAAGGTAAAATCATACCTGTAAAATTTAAATCTAAATCGAAAAAAATGCCCCCTTCTTTCCCTCCTAAATTAACTATATCTAGCATATAAATTTAATACTTATTATCCAAATTGAATATATTGGCTATAGTACCTTTTCCAATCATATTATGGTACATTAGAGGACTTAAAATACCAAAAGGGGAACATATAGTGGTTATTTCTAAACCTTATTAGACATTTTTTTAATTGTTTTCATACTAAATAACCTTTTTTATATTTTCTATATTTTTTTCCATTTCAAAAAATACTAAGGAAATTTTCTTTATGATGTTTTTTTTATTAATACACCCTTTATAATGTAGAAAAGTGAACATTTCTTTTGTAAAAGCTATATAAATAGGATTTAATTTTATATATTATTCCTATGTATTCTCTAAACATAAAAAAAATTATGAATTTAAATCATTTTTATTATTTTTTTCATATAAACTTAAAATTTGATCTTCTTATAGTATTTATTATTATTTTTAATTTAATAATTCATATATACCATTAGCTGATGTTATTATTATTTATTAATTATTCTTTTTTGTATATAAAAAACACGACTAACTGTAATTAATGACGTTTGAAGGTTTTTATTATAAATTAAAAGTAAGATCGGGAAGTATTTTTTCATTTTTAGTTTGTATTAAAATAAAACCACAGTTTTATTTTAATTAATTATACATATTTAGTATTTTTTTTATATTTTTTAAAAAAAATTATAATAATATGTAAAAAAAAATATTTTTTGCAAAAAAATTAAAATATTCTTTATTATTAAAACAAATATAAAAAAAAGATTAAATATATTAAAAAAAATATTATAAAATATTACAAAATATAATATAAAAATTTATAATAATAATAATAAAACATTTTTATTTAAAAAAATAAAAATTTGTCTGATTATATTAAATTCATTTTCCTTCTCTTTGTTGAATTGATGCATATTTTTTATAAACACTAAATAAAAAAAAAATCATAAGAAAAAAAAAATTATTATTATATAAAATATTATATAAAATATTATGAATAATTATATATTATAAATATAAGAAAATATATATATAAATATATATATATATATATATATATATATATATAAATTTTTATATACTTATATATATTTATCATTTAATTTTTTTATTATATATATAAATTTTTAAAACAAAAAAATATTTTTTTACTCAATTAAATTTTTATAAGAAAATCTTTTTATATCTTAATTTAAAATTATTTCGAATCCTTTTAAAAATGGAAAAGGTATGCCTAAACATCCATAGTATTCTTATTCAAATATTATTAGTAAACCATTATTAAATTTTTTGATATTATTTTAATCTTATTCATTTTTATGAAAAATTTTATAACAATCCATATATTTTTCATATGATAATTAATTTTAAAATTAGCTTTTTTTTATATATATAATTTAAATTTTTATTTTATTTTACTTTACTTTTATTTTATTTTGTTAATAAAATCTTAATTTGAATTTTTTTTATCTAAAAACTAAATAAATAATTCACTATTTCCTTTTTTCTATCTAATTTTTTTTTTATGAATTTTTTAATTAATAAACAATATATTAGTATGTAAATTATAAATTATAATCATAATGACATATAGATTAATGTATTTTTTACATATTAATTTTCTTAGTATCATTTTTACAATTAAATTTAAATAAATTAATATTTCTTTCTAATTCCTAATTTTTTTAACATAATTCATTCAGTATAAATTCTCCATTTTATTTTAGTATTCCTTTTTATATTTTTATTTATAATTTTAATTATAATAGTTCCCCCTTATAAAATAAAATAATATACCATTTATATCATATAAGGATAAATATTTAGTTTATGTTTTATTTATATTTATAATTATTTATATTATTTTATTTATCTAAACATTTTCATTTATACCAATTATTACATGGTAAGGTTAATTTTTTATTTATTTTAATTGCTCTTTGATCCAAAAATTTGTATTTTAATATAAAATTCGAATCATTAAGCAAATAAAGTTATCATACTGTAATTTTATCCATAACTATAATAAAAATAAAAAAATTAATTTATTTAAATTTAAAAATTAAAATTAAAGGCTTTTAAAAAATGTAAAATAAGATTATAAAATGAAATAATATAAATTTATTATATGTTTACTTATAATTCTTCTAAATATTTAACGTACATTTGAATAAAAAACAACAAAACTCTAAAAAATACATTTAATAAAATCATTAATTTTATTATTAAAAAAAAAAAAAAAAAATATTTTGTATTATATTATAATAATTTTTATGAATAAAAAAGTTTATAATAATTAAAAAAAATAATAATAATACACATATTATATAAAAATATCAATCTTTATAATTAATTTTAAATAAAATACATTCAACTTTATCATTTTCATCAGATATAAAGACTAAAATTTCATAACTTTCTGCAACTTTTTTATTAGCCATTTTAATTTTAATTTAAGCTTTTTCACCTTTTTTAAGTTTTATTTTGCTATCCATAATCTCCATAATATTATTAGTATCATCTGTTTCAATACTAAAAATACTATCTTTAAAACCTTTATTTTAAAACATGAATTTCTATATATTCATTTACTAATAAATAGGAATATCTAAACAATACATTTTACTCACAACAGGCTTTTCAGTAAATACACGAACAATCCAAGATTTTACAATTTCTTAATTATTCTAATCTATGCAATTTATTATTACTTATTACATACTCACACACAAGCTTTTTACTTGGCATTATATTATATTATGATTTGATTATACAACAGGATATAAATTATCAAATGGAGGTAAAAACCATATTAATTATGGTTAAGATGAAAAAAAATTTACTATTCGTGAAACATTTGAGCTAAATT